ACGCTTAAAAAGGCATGACCATAATAATACAGATGCATATGCTCGGTACTTGTACACAATTATTGCAATTAAACCAGTATACTGGAGTTATGTTTTATGTATATATGTAAGTGTATGTGTGAATAATCATATTGAGTGAATTGTTGCTTTTCGGCTGAATTTGTGATTGCGTGAGGTGAATTCGCCAACATAGGATGGGATCAGATAACATCTTCGAAATGGCTGACGTACGTGAATGGGGTAACTTCCTCCGGAAAGACAGATGCAGTGATTTTATTTAGCGGCAAGGCATAGCCGCCACGTCACAGTGTTGTTAAACAGACATTTGTGGCCTTTAATAGGGAGAACGCTTACCAAGCGAAACCCACCATGTCCTGGAACACATTCGCCAATCCATTCACGGGAACAGCATTAACCCGGATCACCCAGTTGGCACCACGTGGAGGTTGTTTGGCTAACCAGCCATATTTTTGCCGTGTGATGATTACACGATGTGTTGGGCTCTTTTGGTCCACCGTATAGTACTAATAGTGGTAGCTGGTGGCCTCAGTTTGCATTTTTGCCTGCCGTTGTTGCTGCGATCTTCCACAGGTCACCTGCGCCGTGGCTGACTTGTACTGCACCGCTCACAGTTCTATTCGCATGCTCATATCCAGTAAGAACCCGAAGAAATATGGCCACCAAGTATACGGGTGGGAGTAACGATTGGGTCACAAAAGACACACACTCCCTCATTATGTACTGCATTGAAATGAATTGAAGGGAAATGTGTTTACCAGACGTACATAAAGCAGTGCGTACGCCGTAGGCCCTTCCAAGCTGTATGGAACTTCCCAATGCCTACAGTATTGCCATAAGGACCATGTTCCCCCTTCGCTGCGGGTACAACTAGCAAGCTGCTGGAATGATCAATCGAACTGGCGGAATTCGATCCACACAATTCTTGTCAGTATTCACATCAAACACATCCATAGTTGACATATCCCTCAACAGACAGCAGCACGCTCTCTACGCTCTATCTCTCCATATATATATATAAATATATATATATATATATATATATATATGTATATAATAGTAGGTTCTGGACCTTGGGAGACAGACAGATTACGTGGTCTGGTCATTTTGTAAAAGATAATCTAATAATGGTGACAGTTGTTTGAGTTTTTCAATGGCCCCAATAGTTAGGTGTTCTATCATTTAAAGGTAGCCCAACATGAGGTGTTTGAGAGTAAATGTTGGCGTAGCCCACAGTTCCAGTAAAGTAATACGGCCATCCAAATAACTGACTTCACTTAAACTATACCTTCTTAATTTGGATAAAAAGTAATTCTCTTTATATGATTTGGTCAGTTCTGTTATTCTGCTGCAAATTCCGTGTCAATTTTGCGTGTTTACTTTCCATGAAATGCTGTGTTTGTCGTATGATATCTTCGGTGTGGCCGCGCTTGATGTGAATGTTGACAAGGTGGCTAGTTGTCTAACACCCTCCATCTCGATTACTTGCCCCAGGAGACTGAATCGTTGTTGACAGTGACGGGGAGCACGATCCTCGTGACTTTGTTAGGCCCAAAGTATGGTTCCATGCATCCAGTGTGGATCGGACTACGGTCCAGCTACCGCCTTGTATACGTGTGGTATGTATGCTTCCCAAATTAGATATAGAGCTATACTGCTGCTCTGCATGTTGGAGTGTGGACCGACTCCGTTGATGAAACGCGGCTCCCATGCACAGGCCTCCAGGTCTTATTCCTTCGGGTTTACACAAGATATGGGGAGCTGTGGGTGCTGCAACACAAGCTATCCTCGGTAGGTACAGGCGTTCTGGGCATGTCATATGGAGACAGCATTGACGGGAAAATCCGGAACCGGATGTCGCCAACCTTGTAAGACTATGCCTGAACATCTAACAGATGCAACCATATGCGTATGGCACTCCATCCCTGGGTGGAATCTGGCCTACTTTTAACCGATTCCACTTTCAGGAGGGTTAGCTGGTCGACATACGTTGCTGCATATGAGAATCCGGAAGAGATTTCCAGTAGGTATGTTACCTCTACGATTTCAGCGCACGGGTTTTTTTACTTTTCTTATCTGGGGGCGATTATCGCTTATCTCTGTCTAAATGGTAACTTCTCAGTACAGTTCGGAACATTGGATAGGTCGGTTAGCTTAAAAACCAGTCGGTTACCACAGTCTGTAGCGCAACTGGATAAGGCTTTCCAATCCACGCCCCTTGTTTCACTTCATCGCCACCGGTTCATACTTAATTTATTTTGCTTTTAAATGTGATACCTCAACGTTTCGAACGAGTCTAAGCTGATTCTACAAGCAATGGGACATAGTAAACGTACTGAAGTAGGCTGGATGATGTTTGTTAAGCGTTCTAATCGGCGCATTAGATTTAAAAAATTGACCAGCTTTTTCGGAATTTATGTGACTAATCGGGCCTACCTATAATGCGTTTCATGTCATTCGAGCAAGATTTGTTCTAGCCATTTGTTATAGCATTGGCATTTCCGTCTCGTTAACCATGGCTGTCCACCAACATAGCCGGTTAGTGGCTACTTCGGAGTGTTACTGATACATCGTACGGATTCCACCTCATCACCACCTTACGTCTCTCAGTGAAACGAGTCGAGGCGTCGGAAATATACTCAAGATTCAAAAGCTTTATGCCCAGTGGGCAAACAGCTTCCTGTATCTCCTTTGGGATACATAAGAGAGGAACACAATCAGCACTTGGCCCATTCACCTCATACAAACGCCAGCGGTAATGCTCCACAGCGGCTGGCCAGTGTCATTTATCGGACTGTAAGCTCAAGTAACTGGTTAGCTACCCCAATGTTGAGTGTTTCACCGAGCCCTGGAGGTCTGGGCTATCCTGGAGCGCACGAAACCACACTGGGAGTCCAGAGTGCTGCTTCTGGTAGGCTGACACCTCCAGGAGCAAACACCATGTGTCTCATGCCAATAAAGTCTACTGGAGTTCGTGTTGCCGTTTTGACTGGTTTGCTCTAGGTGGCACGATGCAACCAATGCGGTGTTAGAGAGCTGATGCTACTAGCCCCAAAGGTGTTTTTGGTGCATAACTAGTGAAGTCTATCTCCGTAGTCAGCACAATGATCATCGACCAAAAACGGCCTCCTAAGATTTCCCCGGCCTCTGAGAACTACCCAGTTGGACATTTATTTCACATACAACGTTAGTCGTATTCTCAATTCTAACCATCTTTATGAGGGATGAGATTTGCTGATAGCATTCGTCTTTGATCGCCTTCAAGCAGCATCAATGATACGGTACGTTCTACTGGTCGACGACGCACTATCACCAGAGGGATGAGGAATATTGCCATTCCCGATGAACTCCGGACTGTATGGTCAATTGTTTATTAAAACAGTCATCCTGCATGTGTTTTCCAGCTACACAATACATGTTACCTGCAAAAGAATTTGGAGTGAAAATATGGGTTAACTACGAACTAATCAGACAAAGTGCAGACATCGGAAGGCATATTGTGAAATGAAACGCACGGTTTTAAAGAGAACCGTTAGAACAGTCTGTAAAATCCTGAACAGCTCCTTAGTTGCAACCACGCAGATGAGAAACAAAAGAATGGACACTGGTGGCTGAGTTTGTGAGAGAATGACAGTGTTGTTACCTTTTCCAACCGAGATTTTCGTTGAGAATTCCCGTCTTTGACTGGACAATCTGAATCACATTGCAGCGGATCTAATATCTAGATTGCGTTGTAGGTACAAGTTCGCACAAAATCCTGCAAGGAACCCTGCAGTTCATGTGTTTTTTGAACGTGAAGATAACAGCTATTTTCTGGTGCTGTAGAAACCTTGTGCCTTTTCACGTGTTCGCCCACTTGGAGATAATCGGCATCAATCCAGTGAACAGCAGTTATGTTCTTACCCTGTGACAGAACCTGTGGTCCTCATGCCACACCAGCGTTCGAACTGAGCCTAAAACTCGTCTCATGCTACCCGTGAGATGTATTTTCGGAGGTGACGTTGTCGAGTCCTCGTCAATCGTTTATGAGGTTGGGCTTCTATCCAGCAACAAACTTTCGTGAATGACCAGACAGTTACTAAGGGAATGATACCCAAAGCGTATCCGTGGATTTTTGAGATGCACAAATCCTCACTCCACATCGAAACTCGAGTGGTATAGAACCAGTTAGTCTCAAAGTGACGACAGATATTTCCTGGCGGAGCGCTTATTTTTTTATCTTGTTGATGGTTCCTCTTCCCGTATTGCAGCTAATTCTATGATATTTTTTCTATGACTGAGGCAGGGTCGTTCTCCTGTACTAACTGCTGTTCTCATGAACTTGCTTCTTGTACTGTTACACTGTATCGTAGTCCTAGAGTTACTGATTGACAGTAGGGGCAGTGATTTTGGTAAGCTTGTAAACAACCGACATAATGGGCGACAGAAACACGACAAAACGCGACCGGAATCCCACTTGGCACACTGTTCAATCGCACAGATAATTTACATTACCAACTAATGGGTACTGCTGTCATTAAGATTAATCGTACGTTTTCGCTTGATTCCATGGATACGCCAAATCAGTTGTGGTCCTCATTCTAAGCATTGGAACTGTTTGGTGTTACAATCCCCAACCTCAGATTCCGCTGATTAAACTACGAGTTGCATTCTCTATTTCTCCTATTCACATGTATGGAGGCGTCTTTACACGTATTGCATAGCTGATGAAGTATACAAGAGCGTAAGGGACCGGTTGTCCTCGGGCGTTCAAGACGCATGTCGCACGGTTGCTACTCATTGATTCACCAGCAGCGTGCAGCCGATGCCACTTTCCAAGATGGAAAAGAGCTTATCACCTTTTCCATATTTTTACTGAAATTGGCTTTAACTTGGCACTGCTGGGGCATGATTTACTAATCCGTAAACGTCAGACTCAGTGTTACATTCAACAATGCCTGTGTTTTTTAACTTGTTGTTCAACTTTGTTTCCCTCCTAACAGGAAAACCACTACAATTTGGAAGCCGGCTGTCTGTCTTGCCCGGCGTGTTACAATCTTATTCAAGCACGTGTGAGCAAGCTGTTTGGAATGCTGGAATCAGTGTTTGGATCGCTACGACCGGATTACAAGCCAGGTTCTCAGGCATCGTACGATGATAAGGATTTGTACACCGAAATGAAGAAGCTAAATGATACGATAGTGATGCTCTACCGGGATGTGTTGCAAGTTGGAGGTGAGTGAAACCACGTTGAGAGGTCTGCTAACTCCTCCCATTACGTTTCTGTCAAGAATGATGTCAAGGCCACTGAATGTACTCACCTTCTCTCAATCACATACGGAACTCTCCGTCATAACACTTGTGGTTTACACGATGACACTTATTAAGAGAAAGTAGTTCACCTTGCACTGTGCACCAAAGGCGATGCGATCTACTACATGGAAATCAGCTCCAATTTCCGATCCAGGTAGTTACCGCCAGGTCGGAGGCGCTATCGATTTTGCTGTCTTGCAAATGCACCATACACCCGCCTGCACGACCGCTCAGTAAACGCTCGAAATTAGTCCAGATGACAAATTTTCTGGCGGACAGAAAAACATTTCGCAGAATTCCATTTGTCTGATATTGCAGTTTTTATCATTTCACCTCAGTCTTACGCCCTAGACTGCGCTAAGCACGACCGTCCGATATGCGCCCGAAATTAGTCCCGTTTACACAAATTTCGGGCTGTACTAAAAATTGCCACAGCCATCCACTGTTCACGGATTTCAGTTCTGCATCAATTTAGCCCAACTTATATATGCTGGACCGCACGAGCACCCAGTACGCACATAACATTTGTCTTCTTGGCGTTCAGAAAAATTTGGCTACACTGCGGCGTTGGTTCTGCCGAATTTTCACGCACCATGCCCTCTGTTTTACATCATCGTAAAACAGAACCTACAGTAATGCGTCACCTGTTTTTACCAGAAGACCAAACATTTAATCAAACGGTTCCATTAAAGAAACCAGTCACCGTCGCAGTACTTTGCTTGGATGTTACTTGCAACTCCGGTTGGTAGGTCTCTTGCTCTATTTGATTTGCTGGATCCACAGTCGAATATTATCAGGTATGAGACTTTCGGTACTTACAATCAGCCTTTTTCTTAATTCGACATCTGAACTGCGTATAGTCTCGTGCAATTACTTGACTGACCGGCAATAGCACGAGTCGGCGGCGTACCGGTAACGCGCGGTTTCTTGTGAACTCCACGCAAGTTCACCCGATGCACCAGTGCGTGTGTTTCGCACAAAGTCGGACAGGGACTTTCCTCCCAGTTACACGCAATAAGCAGTCTGAGACGTGATATACAATTTGTGTCTTACCAACTTTTCCATCTCCACTCTTTTATCAAGCCACACACTCAGGGTTATGAGCTTCTCAACGCAGTCCATCGGCCGAGGTACAATACTGATGACTGCAGCCCTGTCATTGACCATGTGGCCATCCAGAGTCTATTTTCAACTCCATTGCATGCATAAGCTCCCGCTACGAACGAACTCATGCGTTAGATGGTCTAGCCAGATGGTAAGGGCATAATAAGGGTTGTATCTCACAACCCACAACAAACAGATTTTGTGTTGTTATCACCTGTCTCAAACAGTTCAGCGGCAGCAGCGGGGAGGTCTGAGAGATACAGACGTGGCTGAGACAATATGCCGCTAAGGGATTTTTACCTTAAAATCCCCGTGTTTCTAGTATCTTCATTTTCTTCGTTTGCAAACCACAACACTTCTTCTAAGTCCAACCTGGGTGGTAGGGGGCGAATAATCTTTATCCACACTGTGGAACGGAAGTTCTTTATTGGATTTGCGCACTCCGGGAAATGGATGGGATTGCTGAAAATAAAGTAAGCACAGTTTGTGTCCACATCGCGTCTTCAGTTTCGCTCCATGAAGCAACTCGCGTTGCTGCACGGGAGCTCAGAGAATTCTAGCAAAGCTACCTCCAGCTGTTTTCACTCTAATGTAGTCATCTAAAAAGCGGCTAACTCGTCATATCAAGTAGATTTACGAGTATATTTATAAATTCGTGCTTCGTAAAGTAACACTAACACTAGTGCTGGACTTGTTCAGTACTAGGGCCCCGATTTGCTGCGAAGGGAGCTACCGCCACCAAAATTGGTCCTCGCCAACCATCCAGGCAGAATGTGTAACCGCGACGCTTGCTTCTTTAGGCACGAGAGCGCGATACATACAAAAGTGTGGTTTCCTTAATGGGCACATAAATACATAGTAGAAAGCAAAAATAAAGGCGAAACAACGTGAAGGGTACATTTTTGTAATAAAAGAAACCATTGCTTCCCACTGGTAAATATTGCGCAGTAAGCTCAAGCCCGAGGGGCTTGACGTATTTGGAAAACGCATTGAATTACGAAAAGCATACCGCTTCTCTTTTCTGGTGGCATCATCGCAAACGATCACCCACAACCCATTTCCGTGCTTCGAGCTAGTATACAATAGGGCTTAATGGTTTCACCACAGTTATCCTAGAGCTGAGGTAAACGTACTATGCATAGTTGCAAACTTACGTATAATCTCCAAAGTCAGTTCCGTGTAAGGTAGGCATATTTTTGGATGAGTCTACTGGAACACCCCCAGTACTGCTCTATGCCATAGTCCACATCGAGCATGCGCTTATCAGCGTCAGTCGACAGCTGGCGAAGCACATGGATCCAATTCCCTTTGGCAGCGAAGTTAACCACAGGTGGATGTTGGGTGTGGCCCGCTGGAAAACACTGAAATCAACGACGCGTTGCGACCCTTTCTCTCGCCATGTAGAGATGGCAGACATAAAACCCAAGACAATTGGAATGTAAGCCGAAACCTCTACTCCTTTGGCTGCCGAGGCATCATGTTTAACTCTTCGCACAACGATTGCTAACTGATTGGAGGATCATCTTGAATTACTTGTTGTGTAACTGAATTGCGAACAATGCGTCCTGGATTGCCTAAGCGGAACAATTTTTCAAATAGCTTCTGTGTACCTTGGCTGATTTGGATGATTGCAAGCTTATTGGACAGCTCTCAGAGTGAGCTCGCATTTGAGACCGAGGGTGTCCCTGTCGATTCTGATTACTGTGGAGCTGTGCGCGCGCGTTTTAGCACGGAAAACACCGAAAGTACGAAGTATCGAGAAAAGATGAACCGTGGGGAGTCTAACCAAATGATCGATTGCCACCTTTCTCGCCATCAATTCTATCACAACATGCTTTGGGCATTCTGTTTAAATCGAGAACGCTTCTGCGCATTCGCGCTCACGTCGTGCTGTTTTGGCTGCCGTTTACCCTGTGTACGTTGTGATCCAGTTTGCCCACAATCCGGATATTCGACGTGGGTCTACTATTGAACGTTTCCTTTTCTTGTGCTTGACGTGTGCGCCAAGAACGGCGCTACCTGCAAGCGGGACAGCTGTTAGTTAGGTGTGAATGCTTTTTCCTTGGGTTTTGCACGGCCTAAGGACGTGAGGTCTTTTCGTATCTTGCGGACCACTACAAGAGCTCTAGTAAGTCTTTGCCCAGCCCAGCCCACCGATTTTGGGCACTTAAATGTAAAATAAAATTTTCTGAAGCAAATCAACAAGGTATAAGTGAGCAAATGTGGTGTGACCGCACGCTAGCGTGAACAGGAATTATTCTGTCGGCAGCGGTATCCCCTAATTCCAACGTGCAAAAGCATTGTCTTCATGAACCTTGTGCGTGACAGTACTTTCTTGCCCATGGCGTGTCTGAACCAGAACTTCTTCCAAGAGACCGTTACAATATCTTTGCGTGTCTTACTCACAATGGCGGCCGCTTTCTTTGGCTGTCACTGATCATTAAACTCTGTATCACACATTTTTGGCACAAGCATTCTCATTGAGCTAAATGGCTGCCCCCGATCCATGGATTGCCCTGAAATCAAAGTGAACACACCGCCATCAGATGTGAGTGGCGTACGTCAGTGTAAATTTGTCGGTTTCGAGCACAGGCCTCTGTTCTGACCATGTTTTCATGCGCACCTGCACAACCCACACTTTTGCAGTCTGGCTGAAGTGCTCAATTTTGAATTTGGTTACTAGTCAAGTGTAGTCGCAAGCTGTTGTGTCGCTTCCAACCGCTGAAACTCACGTCGACATGGTGAACGCCAAGACGAGGATGGACAAAGGTCACTTTCATCAGAAAATGTATTTGTTTGTAAACTAGTCAGTTGGGCTGACGAGCAGCAGTCAAGACCAACACGGGTAGTGAAAGCACCGAATTGAACATGCCTGGAAGAAAGCAGTCACATAAAGAACCAATCAGGTGCCCTCAGCGAGAAGCAATTTATAGTGTCAAGCTCAGGGGAAACTGGGATATGCCACAAAAATAACGACTGTCAACGGACAACAAGGCTGCTAAAATAGTGCGTTAGAAAGGTTAAGAGATGCACACCACACGAAGTGCATTGCATCCAAACACAATCAGCCTGCATTGAAGCACCAATTATCGCCAACAATCGAGAGTGACCAAGTGAATTGGGAACTTTATCGCCTCCGGTGACTAGCGCAGTGAACAGTCATGTTCAACTACCCTCTCGATTTGAGTTGTCTACACAGTGGATGGATTACCAGAGCTTTGTCACCTGGTGTTTGTCGGAAGACCCTCCAGTACCTCATTTGATTAAAGGTTGAACTCAAATCACTGCCGATGCTTTGGTCATTTGTCCCAAATGCCGGCCAACTAACTGCCTCATAATGCTCCGTCTAGATGGCTGAGACTTAGAAATCGTCAGTCATTGACATGGTAAAAGAGCATAGCTAAGGTACTGAAAGTCTGCGTCTAGTTTGTGTCGCCGTCACCCTAGGTGGAGTCGTCGGGACTTACCGCGTCACTGGTTGCATATGTCATCGGACATGGTGCGGTGACCGAGTCCGGGGAGAATGTATACTAGTTTCATCGTTTCATCCGATGGTTTTAATTCTTTTTTATTTCCTTTGAATTATCACTGTTGTATTCAATGTCTTTCTAATCAGCATTATTTCGGCGAGAGGTGCCAAGCTACCTTGGTCACACTCTCCTTGGTACGCTTAGCAACCTTGACACACGGCAACAATGGTTACGTGAGTGCATGCGCATCAAGTCCTCAGGTAGAATGGATCTTGTCAGTAAGGGTGGGCGGCCCTCACTGTCTTCCTATATAACACGGTTTATGCAAGCAACATCCCTTACTTGCAT